GAACCCAAGGTGGTGCTAAGGGAAAACTCCAAAGTCATTAGGATCCACTGTAAGAGAACCACGAATCTCTGACCAAAATTTACAGCAATTCATAAATTTTGGTTTAATTACCTCAAACAGAAGAATTTGACTGAAATGTTCACGTGTTTATGTCACATTACAGTGAAATCTTGTGCCAAATCAGAAAAGTTTCCTGATCGTAAATTTGACTCTGATGTTTATGGGAACACTTCAAATCAAAGATAATTATGAATTATTATAACTTTGATATGACATGAAAGCAGTGTAACTGCAGTATTTTTAGACTGTACTATGTGTAAATTGAGAAAAAGTAAATAATGTGTCTTCACTATGGAGAAGACGTAAAAGCAGCATTTAGACCTTCATGTTGGGAAATCATTATACAGTAAATAGCGGCCTAATTAATAAAATTGGATATCTTCACAATTGTTAAAGATATTTCAATGACCTCAGTGTTTCTTAAACCCTAGCTGTGGCCCTGCTGCCAGATTTGCTAAACTACCACCTGAACTTTCTCTGCACATTCTAACGTCACCGTAAAGTCCAACATTAATTCATCAATACAAAACTTTAATTCCGTGAACACTACATTCCCTGTGATGGTCATTTCTACAGCCTGATGAAAAACATAAAGTAAAAACCAATGTTCACACAAAATCTAACAAGAAATGTTCAGTTGTGTTATGGTGAAGTTGTGTATCTGAGAGGAAATGTGATAACTGAAGTCTGTCTACGCAGGTGTAAGACAATCTGTTTTGTGGTGTTTTGCAGTTTTTATGCAGTTTAGACTTTTACACCATGACAAAATGAAAATCCACAGGAAACGAGTTACTTTTTTTTGGTCTTAAAAGAGGACAATGTTTTCGTGAAGTACAAATCAATCCTCACATCACAACACAACAATGACACTGCTCTCAAGTGTCAGACTTACAGTGATGTGAATCAGAGCCTGACCAATACTACATTTTGAACGACACCCTAATTTAAAGAATTGTGAACAAATTAGTGGGATATTTCTACTAATAGAAACTATTTCTATTTCTACTACTACAAATGAATGAATTAGTTGAAAATGAACTGGCAACTGTTTTGACATGCCATTAAACCATTTCAGTCATTTCTACTCTAGTTCAAACATCTAAAATGTGAGGATTTGCTTCCCATCTTTACCATATATGTTGGTAAACTGAATATCTTTGGGTTTGGACTGATGTTAAATCAGATAAATCAGAGTATTTGAAGGCACACCCTTATTTTATAGACAAAATATTAAGTCACTTAATCACAAAACTACCCATATTAATCAGTACTGAAAACTAGATAGGGCTCAGAGAGTGCAAACCTCCACCAAGGTGGCTCTATTTACCCATAAAGCCATTTAAAAAAGAAAAGTGTGGATAGGGATGATCCAAATCACCGGCAAAATGTAACCTCGCCTCTCCAAGAAAATTTAATCAAAACCCATTCATAGCAATTTGATTTATGCTGTGAACAAGCCAACACTCAAGCGCAAACCCCCCCCCCAAAAGTTGGGGGGGGGGGGTCTCTAGTTGCAAGCCTGCATTTTAGTCAGTGGACTCTGAACTGACATTATTTACTGATAGACAAAACTGGGCATTATATCGGTCGGGTTCTAACATAAACACAGACATTTTACAGACGAGCAACAAACTCATTATCCTCACTCTTCTGCCCAACCTGACCAGTGGAGGGAAGCAAGGTGATAATGGATTAATGGACGTGCACGGTGAGACGATGACACCTGCAGAGCAGTGGCCTACCTGAACCACATGTTAACTGCCATTGTCTCCCTCCTCCTCTCACTCCACAGATGAGTGGGTGATGAGTTCAGGTGAATCTGCAAATCTGAGTGTTACTGCGTGTGCATGTGTGGGTGGTGGGACAGGAGGATGAAATAATGGGGACAGATTTGTTAGTAGTTCTGGATAAATAACACGATGGAAACAAAAAAAAAATCATCGTCTTTCAATAGCCCGTCAGAAGTCACAGTTTTACCCTCTTCAGTGTGTTTCACCTCACAGTGCAAATACATGTGTGTGTGTATGTGTGTGTGTGCGTGTGTGTGTGTGTGTTTGAGGCATATATGTGACATTCATTTTGAAAACAAGTCAACATCTGGGATGTTTCATTCCATACTAAAACATGCAGAACACAGAACATTGAACACATATATTGTTAGTTTTATCCAAATGCAGTTTCTTTTTTTTTTTTTTTTTTTTACCTCTTTTTGTACAGAGTGGCTTTAGGCTACACAGAACACGACAGAACCAATCGCACCAGGTTGGACATATTGCTTTAAACCATCAAATTTTGTATATATGTCATGCATGCCACATAGATGATATTATGTTTATACAAAAATAACACCAACGCCTATTACTGTGTATTGTAATAATTACAATAATTATTAAATCTTTTTCAATGAAGATTGACTGAGAAACCATATATATATATATAATATCCATGTACTTATATCTAATATATATAAACACACACATACTAGATATAAATATGTAGATATATTATATACATGTAAATATATAGATATATATATTAAGTGGTTATGACTTTTCCAACTGTGATATTCCAGTTTATTAAAACAATGTTTTGTTTGTGAATTTTGAGGTGGATGTGAAGGTTCTCCAGGGATTTTCTTAATATCCCAGTACAGGAAGCTGTTCTGAGAAAGGCAGCGTTCTGAAGAGGAAGCGACGCAGTCAGAATGCAACAGCGACCGGATAAAAAGTGAGCTCCTTCTCCATACAGAGGTCCCATTGGAAAACTGTGGCACTAAAACTAAAACCAGGTGAAGACTTTCAGTCCACTGCCGAGCCTCGTCCAGACTGTGGCTGAAACCAGAAGCACAGACAGGTCTGGGGCATCTCTGAGGGCAGGGCTGTCCTGTGCAACTGGCAACCAGTCCAACAGACAACCACCTCAACCGAGGTCATGGCAAGAGCAGAAGGACAATCATATCCAGGGAGGGAGGGAAGAGGAGGGGTAATGTGACTGCAAACTGTCTAAAGAAACTTGTGCAGGAGAAGAAAAGCAAAGCGGAAATGACTTTTGCAGAGCATTCTTAAAGCTTTGCTGGGTGATGATTAGCTGATTGCCCCCTGTCACTGATACAGACAACAGATGTCCACTTCACTGACTTATATGACATTATTTACATTGTAGAAACACAGGTGTTCTGTCAGATTCAGCAGCTGAGCAACACAAAGAGGAAACGCAACATCACTGGGAAGGTGTGTCTCATTTATAGCTAACAGACACACACCAGGAAGAGGAAGTGATGTCATGAGCGCTTTAACAGTCCTGCTCTATTCCCGGGAAATGTTTCTGAAACTGTTAAGTGTTTAAAATGGTGACATCTACAGCTGCAGCTGTATCCCATCACAGGCTCCGCCTCCTTACATGTCCAAATATCATGACCAAATTAAAAGTGAGGAACGAAACCGAAAAAATGTGGCGTCCTTCCTTTTATGAACTGACACAGTGGAAATCAGGTGGTGAGTGGATGCTTCAGATGAAGGATCAGAACAAAGGACATCTCATGTTTATTACAATTCCTTTTTTCCTGGCATCTTTTCCTTGCATTTTATGTGGGCAGGACTAAGATGCATGGAAAAGACACATGCAAGGGATTAAAGGGATTAAATTAATGAGACTGGGATTTAGCCCCCGTCTGTCTTTGTAGTACCTTTTAGATCAGGGCCCATGAAATTACAGTGGGACTAAGATCATCTTGGCCACAAACTTCCTTTGTCAGAGAACACGGCATTGGTCTCTACTTTAACGCTCAACACGTCCTCTGTTGCAGTATTCTCCAAAACATCAGGGGGCGCACAAACAAGAACTAAAAGCATTGCACGATGTATGACCATATGCTGTGACAACTTGCAGGAGCCTATGTGCTCGATGCTAGAGGCTTGAGGACGGCATGAGGACACTGCTTCCAACATACACAAAGCTTTAAGGTGCTTTTGGGAAACCATGCCCAGGCCTGTTTTTAATCAATTCAGGTTTGAGTAGTTTTTTCAATGGGTTTGTTGCATATAACAGGCAAAACATATTTTATGATTGAAGCCCGCTCTGCTTTGGTTATCAGGTTGCTTTCTCAGTTTTTGGTCCGTCTGAGGCGATGGGAGCTCCTTTGTGGACAAGGAGTGACCTGCCTATTTGAAGGAGGCGGAGCCTGAAGCAGGACACAGCTCTGTCCTTCTTTAAAGTCGTCAACGCCGACACCAGCCAGTTGGAAAACAGCATCAATCCACTCAAAGAAATCAGTAAATCAGTTGTAGTAGCTTCAAAGTACAGAAACAAAGAAACCCAGAGGTTGGATAAATAATTATACACTCCCATTTAATGCTTGATACAGTTAGCTGTATTCACGTTGCATTTGCTTAAGTCTAATGGAGTTGGATAAATGTGAAATCACATAGCGTGTAGTGTGTCACAACATCTTAGATAAAGTGAATATACTCGTAAAAGGGGGCTGATGGGACTAGGTTGTTGAGATTCCAACTGAACTGCCAACAGGAAGTAACAAGTCACTGCAGGTTTCAGAGCCCTAACATCAGGTGATCAAGACGACACACGTGGTATAAATATTTAGAGAGCTGTATAAAGACATAGTCCACGGTAGAGTCATCTCATTCATGTACTGTACTGTCACCACACTCTTCAGCCTATACATATATATTCATATATCTCCAAAATATTAAAAAGTACTTAATATAAAAATACAGAAGAATTGTAAAAAATGAGCAAAACATTTAATTTTATATGAAAACCATGCAAGAAAGATCCCCCATTTAGTTAAATAGTAACTCTAAGATTCAGGAAAGCAAGGGAATGAAAGGAAGTGGTCGGATGAGAGAAGCGCAGGCGAACTGCCACCCACTTGCTTTTCATGTAAACATTGTAGAGGTCCTTTAAACCTGGTTCGGCAGTGACGACTGATGATTTTCTCCTTGCTTTTTGGTCATGTTTGGAGTAAAGGGCCAGGGTAGGTGAGGGGGTCGAGGATTCTGGGATGAGAAAGTCCAAAGGAAACCTTGATGACAATGAGATAAAAAACAATACAGACAACCTATAAAATATGGCTCTGAGTTACATAGAAAAGCTCATCAGAGGGGAGAGGAAGAACGTAGTCATGACAAAAAGCTGGAAATATGGCAGTAGTAGCACATTACTTCAATAATGTGTCCTAGTTCATAGATAGGTTGATGGCTGCTAGTCAGACTAAGAGGGGATTAGACGCGTTGCTGCTTCTGATTGGAGGATGACTTCTCCTTCTTTTAGACAGCAATCTGTGGACAACGGCAGGCAGGAAGTACTGAGTGGCAGCAGGCACACACACTGGATTTAATTCTACCATTTCCCATTATCTCATAAACCTCAGCGTGGCCAGCACACTAACATCTGTAAATTAAACACAGACAGAGATGATGATGATCAAACACCTCCTCTGCTGCTGGCTGTGTGATGTCACTCCCAGCTGACTTAGGTTCTGTTCATAAAATCTGACAAACAAGGTAAATATCAGAGGCGTTGTTTAAAACACAGACGATCCATTAACTTCCTGTTTGTTTAAACGAACTTCCTGCACTGTGACCCAAAACAGACTCATCGACACTGTAGTCATTCCCCCTTTTAATGCACATTCACATTCAACTGAAGCCATTTCAGAGGCAGCGTGATGACGAAGTCAGCGGAAAGATGCAAGTGGACACAAATACATGTGCACTCGCAAACTTGTCCACAGAGTTGGACATATTTCAGTGAAAAATCTGTGCTGGAGTTTCTGCTTGAGATTTTGAGATTCGTTATTTTTTGAAATTCAGCCTGAAACTAAAGTGAAATTTCAGTTTTTATTCAGTGTAAAACAGAGTTACTATAATTATACAGAAACTGACCCAGAATACACTGCAGGGATTATGCATCCCATCGGTGCTGGGAACATCTATGGATCCACCAGAAAGAGCTGGAGGACTTTTCTCGAGAGAAGACAAGGTCAGCTGGAGCTACCCAGCTTAGTCTGAGGCCAGCGCAACCCTGACCTAGATACGTGGCAGAAAATGGATAGACAAATAAAAGCTATAACACCTTGTCTAGATGGGCTTTTATTTTGAAGAGACAAAGGGAGTAGTGGCAGTGGTAAGTGTTCAGTTTGGTGAATTTAAGCCTAAAAGATGCGAGCTAATTATATGCTCATCTTTCACACCATGTCGAAAAACAGGACAAGGCCCGAATTACACTTTCGACATAGATGCGCAGACTCATGTGATTTACATTCTGGGGCAGTGGTTGATGATGAGGTTGCCTCACAGTGTCATGGTCATGGTGAAAAGAAAGATAAAACAAGATAACAATGCAGGAAAAGTTTGTTTCTGTCTGTAGCTATTTGTTAACCTACTGTAAATGAACAGAAATCAGTGTGGATTCAGTGCTTGTCTGCACAACAAGAACAGGACTGGAGCAGGCTGGTCCCAACCACGTGGTGAACAACACTATGGGGGGAAAGGTTGTCCACCTCACCGGGGTTCAGGTAAAGCTGTATTCCATCTCCTTGTTGGCAATCAGGGCATTTAGTTTATGTTGTGACCTCATTTTACCAGCATTTCCTCTACTTTGATGACAGCAAGGAAGGCGCCACTGGCTGACTGGGGTGTACCTGCCTTTCAATCAATGTCAGCTGGGGTGGGCTTTGGCACCTTGCAACCCTGCATGAGTATGTATGGGTGAATCACTGTCCTGTGACCTGCAAAATCTAGGACCATGTGGCCTACATGCAGACTGAAGTCATCTACAAGAGCTCTGAGGTGTGCAACATGTATGCAGAGGAGACAACAATCGCTAACCACCCTGCTGCAGCTTCCTCGATGTTAGCTGTGTACTAACGAGTCTGGTTTTGTCCTGTTGCGGTCACAGGTTGTTCAGTTTTACAGACAGCAAGTTCATGGAGCTCTGAACAGATGCTGCAGCAGACTAACACACAGATGGCTCTCTAAGCGAATCCCAAATATTCATTCCTAAGTTTTCATGCAACTCAACACGAATGAAACACAACATGCATCCTACTAGAGGGGAAAACATGAACCACACTCCTGCTTCCTATCAACACTGTGGACTGCAGAGGGAGGGGCAGAGAGAACTAGAACCCTGACTGGATGAGATGAGGTCAGACCCCTACTGAGCAGAAAGCAAGCCCTCTCTGGACGCCGCCATGTTTGATATTTATGGGTAGTAAACATTCTGTCCTTCAACATGCAAAACTGCAGCTTAAAAAAAAAAAAAAAACATACAGACACAATAAAGAGCAAAAGCATTTTTTTAACTTTTGAACCTTGAAGACTGTAGTGTCACACTCACAAGACATTCTCAGGAGCCTGAATCAACCAGCAATTAACATTCATTAAAGATTTTAAAAACAAACAAATGCTCAACATCTAAAATAAAAACAAGTTACATTGTTGCATTTGCCTAAAAATCTTCTGATCACCAAACCTGGCTGTTAGCTGTGTAGAAGAGCGAAAGCATATATGTACATGAGAATCACCGCACTCTTTGAAAAGTTCGGTGCCGTTTTTGAGAGCGTTACGCAGGAATGAAGCAAGTACACGACACGCTGCTGTGAGTCCTGCAAAGATTGAACCCAACACAGTTTAAAAGCTTTTCAAAAGGATCATCAAGTAAAAAATATACATGAATGGACAAGGACAGGGCTTCCACAGTGGAGGCTCAGGACTCCACCCTTCACTGATTCATGTATGTGGTGGTGGTGGGGGCAAACTTACAGGCAGAACAACGCCGCAGTCAGCATGAAAAACAGAACGTGGCAAGAATGACTGAGGCGGGTGAAGACAATGCAAAGCATGTGTGCGTGCAGAATGAGGGAATGACTTCCCTCCTCAGCAGTTCGGTTGGTGGGATGACATGGTGATGATGTAGAGGAGGGAGGAGGAGGAGGAGGAGGAGCTCAGATGGATAACTCGTGGCTGTTGTGGAAGGCGATGGGTGGCTCTCCTCCTCCCCTCGCCCCAGGGGAGGCGCTGGGGAGGGTTTCAATCTCTTCTCCGGTCTCGCTGATGGGGGGTATGCGAGCCTCCTCCTCGGACATGGGGAGAAATTCAGGATGGGCCATGAAGTTGTGGATGGAGTTGCGGGACACTGGGCTCTCCAGCCCCTCGTACAGGGAGCTACGGAACGCATTCACCACCTTAATCTGTAATAAAAAAGAAAGGAAATGTCAGGGGACGAGCACAATAACAAACATAAATCCTAGTTATATAAATGTGTGATGGCAAACAGGCAGCAGGGGCTGATGGGACACATGGTGGCTGGTGCGGCTGAATCTGGCCAGGGAGGCGCAAAATCACAAAACACACTGTCAACAAACGAAACTGGGGTCAGCTGAATGAAAACATGGTAGGAAAACAGCAACATATTTATAAAACAAACACAAAAGGTCCAAGAAAAGAAAGGTCGATACAATGTTGGAGGCGGCCGAGTGCATGAAGATAAACAAATGAATGGGAAGATGCATCAAAACAGCTACAACACACACACACACACATGCACACACACAAACACACACTGTTTTAACCACTGATTTGACTTTCCACCAGACTTTGGAACCTGGCTGCAGGGATTTGCTCCTACACAGCCACGGGTGCAAACAATGATGCTGAGTGACAAGGCCTGGATCACAGTTGATGTTCCAGTTCATCATAAAGCTGCTGGATGTTGAGGTCAGGGCTCTGTGCAAGTTCATGAACACCAACCAAGGAAAACTATTTCTTTATGAACCTGGCTTTGTGCATGGAGGCACTGTCCTGTCGAAACAGGAAAGGGCCGTCCTCGAACGGTTGCCACGAAGCTGTAAACACACTATTGTCTACAATATGATTGTGTAAAGATCACTCTTAATGTGTTATAGGGTCGAACACCTCAGCCTTCCTCGCCTTGTCAGCAATAGTGCTGAAAATGTTCTAATGACACCCTGCCCTAGTAAACCACACACATACAGACACACACTTGGGAAAAACAACACACATATGCACACTGGTAAGTGTTTATAATCACATTCAGAGCCAGAAGGATTTTGTCCTCTAGCTGCTCTCTTGTCGCTGCCTAAAGCTGTTTCCACAGAGGCTACAGCTGATCACACTGATTTATACGCACCGGCGGACACTCATTATAATTACTAACTCTGCAGTTCAAAGCTCCTTATTACTGAATCACAGGAGAGCTGCAGGCTGAGCACTGCAGCTTACATGCATGTGACCATCACACACACAGAAACACACACACACAGTACATAGCCCACAAGTTAAAAGGGCTGTTAAACCACGAGAGACTTGCTGAGCCTGACAGATTTAACCCTGCTCAGGATTACCTTGTAAAATTATCTTGGTGCACAGGGCTGTCACCTCTGAGGCCAAAAAAAAACAAACAACCACAAAGAAAATATGACAGCGATTTGTTTTTCACTATTACTAATCAGAAGGTTTCACAGCTTTCTTCTCTTCTCATTGGCCATGTGTGCCAACCGTTGTGATTGGTCATCAACTCATCAGGCAGCAAGTCGCATCAGGGTTAATAGATGCTTGTAAAGAGTTTAAGTCTGGCCAACATGCAGGAAGAGAAGCAGCAGGCTGTGAGGGAAGTGATGACATGTATTAAAAAAAGGAGAAAGAGATTAAGATGAAGAAATAAATGACAGCAGAGGAAGGTGAAGCAGGAAGCAAATGGAAACAAAGTTAGAGATGGAAACAGATCAGGTTGTCTGCAAGTTCATATTTAAATGGTTGTTAAATGGTTTTCAGCTAAAGAACAAAACTGGCTTTATTCTGTACGTTTCTTTTTGTCAGCACATCCAAAACCAAAACCTCACTCTTAGGAAGAGTATTTTCCCAAAATGTGACACTATTTCTTTTAATGTCTGGCTGTATTGAGCTCTCAGTAACTGTGGAATTTTGTTTCTCTCCCATGTTACCATCAGTCTTATTAGTCCTCGAACTGCAAGGTCAGGGGTTTGCTTCCCATTCCTCCCAGTGCACAAGTCAAAGTGTCCTTGGGCAAGACACCAAACCCCAAGTTGCTCCTGATGGCCAGAGCGGCGCCTTGCAGCCCCACCAGCCATGTGTGTGAGCTGGCGCTGCAGATGGCTGCCTAGGTTATGTACTAGAGACAAATTCCAATTAAAGTGATTATCATTATATAACCATCTTGGCTTGGTTTGGTTTTTTCTGTTCAGCTACTACACTTCCTGTTACAACACTGACTCTAAACCAGGGGTAGTCGACTAACTGTGACCCAGCTGCCACGATTCTAATTAAGAAGTAACCTGAGGATGACTGTTGTGGGATGGATGGACTGGATAGGAAGTATCTTAATCCTGAAAGTCACCGTGGCTTTTCAACATTTTTTATATTTGACACACGAGTTAAATTAGTTCCAGATTCATGTTAATTATGACTGTGTTGTTGCCAGTCATTTACTTATGATAACATTTATGCTAATCACTGAAATATGTTAGATTAACTGAGGATGTGCAGACACCTGCTGATGACAGAAACAGTGTGATGGATTAACTGTTGGTGAGTCATGCGCCTTCAGTGATTCGTGCACTTCACACAGAGAAAAAGAAAGAGCCCAGCCAGGTGAAGCATGGTGTTAGCTGGCCTCCGGTCACCGACTCACTGCCTGCAGTGGAGGAGGAAGCGGCAGCAGCAGTGGGCGGAGCCCCGGCCGAGTTGGTGAGAGAGGAGGAGGGGCTAAGCCCTAGGTGGGTGGGGCTAGAGAGAGTTTTGGCGGCAGTGGCATCATTGTGCTGGCTGACGACGGACGGCTGGCGGCGCAGGACACTGGGCACCGCCGCCTGGCCCGTCTGGAAGGTATAGACCACATCCATCTGAAGGAAGGACAGCCACAACACACGGTTAGACAGCAGTGACAGAGTGAGGACAGGACAGAAGAGAGCAATCAGGAAGAAAGGAAAAGACTTCTGGAGACGACAGAGAGGGTTTTAAAATCTGGATGGTAAAGTTTGACAGTTTTGGGGTTTTTAAGGTCAGTTATCGTGTATCAGACAGACGAGAGGTAGCCAGAAAGTATGAATGTAATAAAAGTGCTGCTTTTCTAAACAGATAACAGGTGTTCATGGTGGCAAACACAGAGGGGAACAGTGACATTCATCAAGATGCTGCTGGGTGTTTAGATTTACATAGAAACCAGCTGTGGCCCTGAGCTTTGTTTCTCCAAACCCAAATCAATCAAACTTTGGACAAGTCTGGTGACAAAGAGGTCTAAACTAACCCAAACTAAATGGTCATTAAGGCTGAGTATCAAACCTCAGTATGGTTTTGTTACAAAGGGTAAATGTTTCTTTGAAAAACTGGTAACAGAGTGTAAATAAAATAAAGTGAAAATTCAGTAAAAAAGGCTCTAGAAATGAAAACCATTCACCTTATACCCAGCCTTGGTCTTCACTAAGCTTTTAATCACTCCTGTTTTGTGCAGAATGTGCTATTGATTTTTGCGCATTTTAACCCATTAACTTAAAAAGTTATACTGTTTAAACATCTGTCAATGGAGAAACTCAAACAGTAATCTGTTACGCAGCAGAAAGAACTATCATTGAGCTGGTAACAGTGTAGAGAAACATGAACATGAGACAAAACCAGTGAGGATGGGGAAGGAAGAGAGGATGAACGAGTGAGCAGAACAGGAAGGCAATTTGTTTAGTTAGCGAAAGACAATGCGAAAATGTAGTAAAAGCACCGATAGTACAAAGGGATGAAGGAAGGAAGAGCAATGAATAAAGAGCTTTCGTATCAGGCTTCAAGTACTTTAAAAGGGAAGTGGAGGCAGGAGAAAGAGGAGAAAATGTGTCACTTGGAATGACTGATAAAGTTTCGGCAGTGAGGTGCCGCTTGTACCAATTATTCCCCTACTGCATTTGACTGTCGAGGCGATGAGCACAACACTGCCCACCAGGATTAGAGAGGAGGAGGACAGGAAGAGGAGCGTGGAGAGATAAAAACCTAATTAGCTCGCAGCCTTTCGTCACCTCCCCCACCATCCCCTCATCGTCCCATCCCAGGAGGACAACAGACCAATATTACAGATACACAGGCATGAGGAGAAAAGAGCGAGCTTCCTCTTTTCTCTGCAGCGTGTCTGATAGTGAAGAGACAGGAGAGGATGAGAGCTTTGTTGCCGTTTCTCCTCACATCACTTCCTTCTTTCATTGTGATCTGTAGCTCCATGACAGCTGGGTAAAGGTTAATATCACTCTACACACCAGAATCAGGGCTTCACACCTCAACGGAAATCAAGCATGCACCTGCCCATTCATTTAGCAGCTGTTCTGGGACTTTTGGTCATATCACACGATCTTAATCAGCAGGTTGAGCTCACCAAATTGTCCTAGAATTGTAGCTATTCAAATTTCCTTTTTTACTGAGCACTTTTAGGACGTCTTATCCAGCTGCTGAAGTCCATTTTCTCAACTATGGTTTCCAAGGTCAAGAATGAGTTTTAAACTTCAGCTGTTAAAACTGATTATTTTGGCCACTTGATAGCAGCAGAAACAAGATGTCATCACAATATGAATAAAGTAGTTACATATCCAACAGTTATTGAGTAACATTATCTTTGATTTGTAGTCCTGTTTCTGGTCACTTGATGAATACAGGTCCAATACTCACTCTCTTTTGGCTCTGTTTTTAGATTCTACCGAGTCCTGAGGGACAAATCTGGCTCTTAAGCAACTATGTATTCCACTGTGTTCACCAAGTAAGCTCCGACTGTCTGTCTGCTGTCGTACACAGCGGATGTGTATAACCTATTTACTAAAACAGCAGCCTGCCACAGTTGAAAATGACACTATGAGAGCACTGAGAGTGAACCAAAGCAGTAAAGCTGTGAAGAGCTAAACAATGAGCCCAAACTCACTATAAAACTCTGTAAAGTCGAGAGAAGCTGCATTAAGTGAAATTATGATGTGTGTCAAATGAGTTCTCGGTCAATACTACTGTGATGGACTTATAAAAAATATTAAAACAAAAATAAAATCTTATTTTAATTCCATATGAACAAGGCTCATCTGGCTGTCTATGGTCAGATAAACAACAATTTGAGCAGATTGATTTGTTAAATGAAAGGTTATTGCAGAAGCATGTTTTTGTTGTGTAAACTATGTTAAATATTGGTTGTTTCTGGAAAGGGAACATTTCAAACAATATTAAAACATGTGCAAAGTCTAATATTCTCTCAGTTACTTTGAGGCTTTTCAAAGTCTGTGTGAAGAAGCTGGGAACAGAGGTCAAACTGAAAAAGTCCAGAGGACAAAGCAGGAGAAGATTTTACAGTAGGTCCTTTTAATTCAGATGTGTTTATCTTGCAGCTACAGTACGTACAAGTTGGTCAACCCCTGAGAGGAAAACACCTGACCTTTCTGACTCTGACCATGTTAGTGCGTGTGCGAGGGCGTGGGAGCTTTGGCTGCTGTTTCTGTAGGTGGGCGTTAACATCGAGGCTAATGAAGCCCATAGGGACTGAATGGGATCGCCTGAGGACATGCTAACGTTCAGTGAGCGTTGCTCTATCCTGTAGAAGGAGGGTAACACACACAGCTAAGTCCCAGACTGTGAGATGAGTCATTGGAGAAGACGGTGCTGTGGAGGTGCTGCTGTTTACCTTCATCACTAGTCAGGTTTCTGTGCAAACTTCATCTTATGCTATTTGAACATGATACTAGGAGTTGTTTTGTCAAACTCGAGATAAGCAGTTTTCCCGTCAGGTGTCAAACCGCTGCAGAAGAAGATAATGCGACTGGATGATGGAATAAAAAGAGCATCAGTCAAACCTCCAACGACAGAAAACCCTGTAGACAACATGATGCTTATGCACACACAATGCATAGTGATGCTCATATTTATTCATGGGTTTCCAAATAGAACTTTAAATGAATTATTTCTGCTGGTGCATGTACTTTTTGAACATTTTTAACATTTGAACAGTACTATTATAATATTGATAACTTATCATTTTGGTCACTATAATCATGATGTTAAATTTTCATGCCGTTACATCTCTACTCCCCCCAGATACGGTTCGTCTCTTTACTTTCATTTTCAATGGACATATACATCATGGTTTATTAACTAATGCTCTTTGTTGCTATTTGCTTTTACTGATAAACCAACTTTTCCACCTCAGCCAAGATAAAGTTACTATCCCAAGGAAAATTGTTGAAAAGTTTAAAGTCTCCCATTACTACAATCTCTGCAAATCTAAAATGGGAAAGTAATGTTGCACAGTATTTCATTTTGTGAGCAGGACTTAGATCCCTGTGCGATCTCAGTCTCAGGTGATAATGATTCTGCTGTATTTGCATTAGCAGGGAGATGCCTTGCATCGAACCAAGCACTCCCTGTGATGAGCTGTAGACAGGAAGAGAGACTGATTCAAAAACCAATCCAATACATTTGACATTGTGAACGCTATTCTGTGCCGTCCTGCAACTATTGTTCAAAGGTTGCGCTGCCTGCCCTGGTGCCGAATAGCAGTTGAGGCAGAAATAAATCACTTTGCAGTGCGCATTGTACTTTGGAGGGAAGAATGAAAGCGTGGGATTTCTTCACTTGTCTACTTTCAAACTTGAGCTTGCTGGTTTTTCCAGGATCACCAACCCTACCTTAAGACTGAATCAAAAATTCCTGGTTATTTTTGAATTTTCTGCACTTTCACTCTCATTTTGTTACATGCAAATTGAAATTGCACTTAGAAATGGATGGATGGAAATGCACTGACTGACCTAAAGAAAATAGTCAATAAGCTTTCTGTCCCACACTGAACACTGTCTTCAATTTGTGTTTTCTAATAAAGTGGTTCAGTACTGGAGCTCTGCAGCAGACTGTGAAATTAACTGGACAACAGCTAATGTGTGTGTGTGTGTGTGTGTGTGTGTGTGTGTATGTGTGTGTTAAATCTCCAGTTTTACCTCCACACACAGACAATCAGAGACACAAAGAGCCAATCAGCTTGTCTGTAGCTGCGACAGTAAACTTTTATCTACACCTATATCATCTGAACGCTGTATGCTGTTTACAGCATTTATCTGATCTCTGATCAGTTCAACCACCGAATAATCTGTAGAGCCTGTGAAGACGATGAAACCTGTGTTGCCTGAAGTTCATACATGTGTTTTTCTCATGTGTTCATGTTAATCAAGGCAAATTAATCTGTTATTGTTGGGACACTGTGAGGCCTCCTAGATGCTGTGGTATCTTCCACAATTACACACTACAAGGGGTAAAACCAGCAACTGTCACGGCCCATGTTCAGTTTAGTTTCCAGACCATTATCGATGTGATAGTGTGGATTTTTAACCCAACTTTATTACAGGCAGCATATTCTGTTGCAACTTTAGCCTCATGAGTTTTTGTTTAGTGCCAAAACACAAAACCAAATGAGCCCAATTAGCGAATGAAGCTTCAGTAGCTTCCTACTCTTAACTCTGGTTTGAACCTGATTTGACAGAAATGAACTGCAGCTCTTGTGAACTGTCAGAAATGTTTTTGGTGAATCAAGTCTCCCATCATTGCCGTGATGAAACACCTCGTCTCTGACGGGCCACTCTGACTCTGCTGTCAGTTCTTTACTACACTTTTATTCAGCAGATGCTTGCTTGATTTTGGGAGAACGAAGGCGAGGACGATGGTGCAGCTGAATTTGATTTAAAGTTTGCTTTGCAGACAGCAGCAATCTGAATTGTATCTGAATAGCTTCACAGGTTTTAACAACAAATCAGAAATATCTGACCAAAATCAAAACAGTAAAAAAAAAAACAAATCATATGAATGAAATCAAAATCAAAGACTAAAATATCGTCTGTTTTTCTCCAGAGTTTCCTCTCGTTACCGTCTAAGGTGATGTTTTCTGCAGCTTTGAACAAACAGATGTTCATAAAAAAAAACACCTTGGAAAGTCATCGTCAGAAAAACCTTAAAAAAACAAAGTTAGTAATACGTTTGCCATGTCACCGGTCATACCTGTGTCTGGATGCGGTTCAGACCTCTGAACCAGAGGATCTGGCCTCTCCTCAGCTCCATCTCGGCGTGGTCAATCTCGTCGACACCCTCTGTCATCTCCTCCTCGTGGATCTCCTCCTTTGTTGTGCCGTGACCTGCTTCTCTCAGGAACCTCAGGCGGTGGGTCGGGACAGCTGTGATCAGCTGAGGTTGACAAAAAAAAAAACCAACTGAATTGCTAAAGGGCCAGTCCACTGTTTTTACACCTAAAGATCAGTTTATTATCCATGTCTAGAGCTCGTGGAAACAGTGGTTATCATATTTTCTGTAGCTGAAGGAGAAAATCATGAAATTTAAAGCAGAAATTGTGCATTGCAATGTGTGGAGCGGGAAACAACTACAGTATCTAGCTGCATTGTGGGAAATGCAGGGTCCAGTTGAAAAATCTGTTTTCTTATTTCTGTGATTTGTCGACACTAAACAAGGGAAGCTGGAAATAAAAATGGGTAAGAGCTCAGTTGTTTCTTCCTGTCAAAATGATAACAAATCGACTCAGTTACTGGTCTTTCTTATAATTAATAAGCAAACATTCCTTAATGCTGAAGTGAACCATGACTTAAAACATATTTTGATAATGTTATTTTGTGGGAAAATATTTGTGTGTGCAAAGAGAAATTTGATTTATTGTACTGTGTAAAAAAACAAGATCTGAATCACAGTCCTATCAAAAAGGATAGTTTGTGTTGTAATTTTCTCATAAAGCAAATATATATATATTTATGTTTTGCTCTGTAACCACTGATTTAGTATTTCTTGTGGTTTTCTTTTTATTTTCAGCATTTGTGTTCATTCAAAAAATGTAAACAAAACATTAAACAAGTGATGCAAAGGTATACTGAATTTGTATTGTGTATGTGAACTGTTGTTTTTTCCATGTTCAATTAAAAAGACGAGAGAGAGACACACCCAGACTCGTGCCGCAGGTGCGCATCAGCTGTTCATATTGTCATATTATCCTCCTCTCTCTCTGTTAGTAACAAAGTCTTTTAACCAAAAATAACTCACAGGACCTCAGATCCATCTGTTTGTGTCAGCATCTTCCTGGGTCTCTGTTCTCAGTCTCTGCCCTCTACCTGAACTCACTTCTCGTGACTGAACTTGTCTACATGATGTGTGCCTTCTATGCCTGTCTGTGTGAGTGTGCACGTTAAGAGGATCATGCATGTGATGGTGTGCTTGTGTGCGTATCCACAGAGGGACTGACACATTTGGATTGTTTTCCCTCTGTGCTCGTAAACAGGAGTCACGCTGCTTTCATGTGCGGAGCTCATTACCATGGCAATGGTTGTGATGGCAACGCCGCAGCAGCACGAGTGCGACTGCCACAAACCTCATGTATCCACCTCTTCATTCTCTCCTCGCTACATGTTTATTCTCAGTAACCTAACTCATATTTCGTGTTCTAATGCAGCCTGCTCAGAGTAAAGCCACCTGTGCTTCCGCTGCTGGTCTCACCTGTCCCCACAGCAGCTCTCCAACACCGATGAACACGCACCACAGCCACTGGTCGATGGTCAATGCCGTGCAGGAAAACGGCTTCCCTCCGAGCTGAACAATGATGATCTGAGGAGGACAAGAAACACTCGGGACATTTCAGCTGTGTAAACTGATCCTCTAACAGTCTATTATCTGTGTATCCGAAGCCTGATATATCTTATTCTTCTGTGCCATATGGTCCAACTCTTAACATAATATTAAAAAACGCAACTGAAATGAGGACAGTTCTTCAGTCAAGTCATGCTGGCCCTGGCTTCATGGCTTGGCCCCGTCTACACATTTGACTTATTTTGTTTTTAGCTTTTAATTTTATTATATGCATCTACAAAAGAAGAGCATGGTAGAAAAACGTAGGGAATCATCATTACATGACATTTGGTGATGATGACGTTACCTGCAAGATGAAGGTCCCCAGGACGACGCTGCAAAAGATGGGATTCCTGTAGATGCCCTCGAATACGTTCCTCTCTCCATGGATCTTCCTGGCGTTGACTTCGTTGAACAGCTGCATCATGACAAACACGTTGAACACGATGGTGTAGTGCTCAGATGGTGGCGCGTGCAGGGGGGCGTTGCGACCGCTGTCAATGTCAAAAAACTTCTCGCCTGAGAAGCAACGCAGGAAAAGATCAACAAAATAAACAAATGGACAATAAACAATAAAACCCTAAGATCCATGTACAGTATTTACACTGATTTTAGTAATTAAAGATCTGATAACTTTTCCACTGAGGTACCTGAGCCGGCAGATTCTGGCTGATTGGCTGTACGGGTCTCGGGTTAGTTATGCAACTCACCAGCAAAGAGCAGAGTGAAGATGATGACAAGCTGGTACACAGCGTGACCCAGGATGTTCTTCATCATGGTCCTGGAGATGAGGGGCTTGTTGCGGCCGTAAGGTTTACGTAGCAGCAGAGACTCAGTGGGTGGCTCGGTGGCCAGAGCGAGAGACGCCAGAGTGTCCATGATCAGGTTCACCCAGAGCATCTGGACAGCCTTCAGAGGAGAGTCCTGGAAGAGGAGGAGGAGGAGAGGGGTTTCATTTACAGACAAGAAAAAAGGAAACAATCAACGACAACTACAAACTCATCACCACCCCATTTTGGCTTGTGATGTAAATGCAGTGTGCTGTGGAAACCTGATGAATACGATGCTCAGATGTCTGTTCTGGTACATTTACGCTAAGAGATTGTGAATTTTCTTTCATGCTATCTTCACGGTTTTTCTTCCGGACTACTTTTCTGAGTCCACTTGAAGTTTATTAAAGTTTCAGAATAAGCACAAATGTTTTGCCTGATCTCAGTTAATATCACCCTTGTGCAAATGTGTCACTTTGCACCGACTTTCTACACAACCGTGCCACCTCTAAAATTCACTTCATGTTCAGTCTGAGCACACAGAACCTCACGTCATGACGATGTGAGGTCTGTAGCACCTGGTGGGGTCTGTCCTTGCACCGCAGTCAGGCCAACACAGAGAGATTTACTAACGTGTTTGTACAAGTGTGCAACATTTGTCCTGCTGGCTTCATCCCAGAATGTGATTTCCAGTGGGGATGGAGAACATCTACTGGTGGAGACCATGCATAAGCCACTGATTTAGCAAAACTGTAACATTGTCAGACGCATGATGAACAGATAAAGAGATCTAAATCAAAGCAGCAAAACCAGAAATACTGTCTTTTTTATTTCACACATTCTTCTTCCTTGTCAAAACCTGGCACCTACATTACCTACCATCCAACTCGACTACTGACGGTTCCATCAGTGTTTCCGGTGTGTTATGCTAGTAGCAGTTAAGGTAGCATTGAGCCTCAAGCAGAGATGAAGAGGAGGCTACATTTGTTTGATGCACGCTGGGGGTCGGATACTTCCAAATTTATACTATTTTCATGGACCCCGACTTCAATGATGCTCTGACGTCACTCAATATGGCAGCACCCTGAGAAATTAGGGTTACACGAATAAAACTACCAACATGAAAGCTGTTTACTACTTAATCCACTCTGGTAAAGTCTGGGCTGAGCTGGAGCAAATGAGCGGTGGCAAAACAAAACAACAAACGAATGACAAAGAAAGATGATGTGCTTTAATTGTAGTGTGCCATTTGCTAGAGTGATTCAAATGATTGTAAATGCAGAAAAATAAAGCTTTTAAAGACATGCACATCTCATGGCACCCCCCTCCACTTCTGAAACAACCTACAACACAGTGTCCGTCCTTTATATAGACAATAAAGACATAAATCAGTTTGCCATCCTTTAACGATGTGTACCAACGTTTCAGTGGCCTAACAAAAACCAAGTGCTGGATGATCAGTGAGAACAAACAGCACAGAGACCACAGACCTGCTGAGTCCCTGTTATATTTCAGGATTATGATGGTGACATGTTGCCATGGTTTCAGGCTCTGTCTTAGCCTACTTTATGCTCTCTCGCTCTGTAGATGAGTTAGTTATCGGTCTTGCCAGCTGTGAGCCTTTCAATTAATACACAGCCCCAAGTTACTTTTTTCTTAGTGTGTGAGGATTTCAGTTTCATGATTAGAGACATATTATGAAACAAAAACATGTGACACGGCCACATCGCCTCCTCACAGCTCCGAGGCAAACAAAATCACAAAAACAGACCGATTGTTTCTCGTCTCTGTGGTTATTTGACCAAAAGGAGATGCGTATAGTGTGAGAGCACATGCATCAACAGTATGCCTCAACATTTAATTATTAAACCACCAAGATACAAATGAGTTTATGTTCGACAATAAACAAACACTCAGAAACAGTGGAAAAACTGATATGAACAGCTGAGTAGAAAGAAGGAATACAACTCAGTCTTCTTCAGTTAAACGTGTGCACCCTGAATCAGGCTGAATCAGCCGACACATGTAAACTTGATGATATCAAAGCTAAATGTCTGTGAAGGAATATTTGACTTTGTATATATCTCTAATGTCAGACTCAGCTCACTGTTCTTTGCAACTAAACTTTAGATTAAAATTAAAAACAAAGAAAGGAGGGTCAAACAATGAAGAAAATATCCGAGTAATTTTTCTCTTTGAATATTGAAAAGACAAAGAATCTGCAGTGACGCCGGCAGCTGTGTGAGGCTACACTCTTGTGCAGCAGTGTTTTGAGCTAAATGCTAAAAATGTGAAACCATAACTCTGGTAAAGACTTAAGACAAAGTCAGGATGTAACACATCAGCCAAGTTACAGTGCTGGTCAGAGCCACATCTGACCAGTATCAGCAAAGTCTGGCTCATTTTTCTAGAAAACCCATGACAAAGTGGGTTGTTTTTTACATTATGAACCCAAATATCAAGCTACAAACAGGACTTTTAAATTTGAATAAAATCTAATTTTTTAACTTGATTAACTGATTCATATGAATTTCCTCTCTAAATCA